TGGCCTTAAATGTCACTCCCTTACTTCGTATCGCATACATCGATTAATAGGCGATACGATTGTTATTGGAAACCCGAATCTGCGGGTTTTCCAAGGTTGGAGTTTTATCTTCTCCTGATATCTTAAATTCTTCTTGATGTTTTTTCTCATTTTCCTTGTTTTTTAAGGACAATGACACTAATGTAGAACCTCCTAATAGTCCGCGTCATTGGAAGGTAAGACCAAACTGATATCAATCTGATTCAGTGCATTAAGGCTTACAAAAACCGGTTTTTTGACATATGATATATAGGTTCTCGCTAGATGGGACCCGGCTGAATCGCGGAGGCCTGTTATTGATGAAGCTCCGGCATTCTACCCGTCATTAGAGGTACTAGTTGTTCTCCATCTTCTTTTCAGAGGTTTTGATCAATGTTTTGTTCATTTTATTAAACTTTTTGGTGTTTAGGAGTTTGAAGATACACTTGCTTACATTGAAAAGATACGTCCATTAGCTGAATCATTTGGTATATGTCGAATCATACCACCGTCGAATTGGTCTCCTCCTTGTCGGCTTAAGGAGAAAAGTATATGGGAGGATACAAAGTTCCCCACCCGTATTCAGAATGTGGACTTGCTTCAGAACAGAGAGTCAATGAAGAAGGAGAAACCTAAGGGAAGAAAGGGGAAACGGAGAAGAAGAATCTCAAGATTGAGCTCATCCAGGAGACGACCTAGCTCTGTTTCTAAATCAGTTCCCTCTCCCGAGACGAACCAAGAAGAGAAATTTGGGTTCATTTCTGGTTCCCATTTTACTCTGGAAGAGTTTGAGAAATACGCTCGATATTTCAAAGACTCCTACTTTAAAAGAAAAGACAATGTTGGAGTTGCAAAATGGGATCCATCTGTTGAGGAAATCGAAGGAGAATACTGGCGGATAGTTGAGCAACCAACGGATGAGGTCGAGGTACACAATATGTTTAGTTGGTCCTTACTAAGCAATTTAACACAAATCAGTTGTGTCAGCAGTTTTGCGATTCGATTTACAGGTATATTATGGAGCTGATTTGGAGAATCGGGTACTTGGAAGCGGATTTTACAACGGAGCGAAAATGTTATCTGGAAAAAATGATATGGATCAATACATAGCTTCTGGTTGGAACTTGAATAACTTGTCACGTCTCCCTGGTTCTGTACTCTCGTTTGAACATAATGATATTTCGGGTATTCTCGTGCCATGGCTCTATGCTGGGATGTGCTTTTCATCGTTTTGTTGGGTAAGATTGATTACACTTTGTCTGATCATTTTGGAATTTTGTTTCTAAAATTTCACCAAATATTTTGATTGGAACAGCATGTCGAAGACCATCACCTATATTCAGTGAACTATCACCATTTTGGCAAGCCAAAAGTATGGTATGGAGTTCCAGGAAGTCATGCAACCGCCCTCGAGAAGGCGATGAGAAAACATTTACCTGATCTGTTCGATGACCAACCTGATCTACTTCATGGACTGGTTACTCAATTTTCTCCTTCCATTTTAAAAGATGAGGGAGTACCGGTTTATCGGCTGGTTCAGCATTCAGGGGAGTATGTCCTAACATTCCCGCGGGCATATCATGGCGGATTCAACTGCGGATTTAACTGTGCAGAAGCGGTGAATGTGGCTCCGGTTGACTGGTTGGCTCACGGACAAAATGCTGTGGAATTGTACAGTACAGAAACTCGGAAAACGTCTCTATCTCATGACAAACTTCTCCTTGGAGCAGCTTATGAAGCTGTTAAGTCTCTTTGGGAACTCTCAGCTCGTGGGAAAGAAAATACAAATAATTTAAGATGGAAAAGTTTCTGTGGGAAGAATGGAACCCTTACTAAGGCAATCGAGACTCGGTTACGGATTGAAGAGGGAAGAATTGAGGCTCTTGGAAACAGTTTCAGCTTGCTAAAGATGGAGAAGGAGTTTGATTCAAACTTTGAAAGGGAATGCATCTTGTGCCTTTACGACTTGCATCTTTCGGCTTCTGGCTGCAAAAAATGCTCCCCCGAAGAATATGCTTGTACAAAACACGCGGCCGATCTCTGTTCGTGTGAAGGGAATGATCGGTTCATCCTTCTTCGTTACACCATTGATGAGTTAAGCTCGTTGGTCAGAGCATTGGAAGGAGAATCAGATGATCTAAAAGCTTGGGCTTCCAAGGTCATGGAAGGTTATACAGAGACTCAAAAGGGAGAATTTAGTTCAGTTACCGATGAGGAGAAAACGCTAAAAGAAGGTCTTTTCGATCTGAATCTTGAATTTCAATTAGATGTCGAGATTAAAGCTTCATTAGAGACTTATGATGATGCTTCCATGATGAACTCTGTTCCTTGTGTTGAGCCTAAAAATCTCGGGTTCTTGGTTTTCGGAAAGCTTTGGTGTAACAAGCATGCTATATTTCCAAAAGGTGCATCTCCTTAAACCCTTTTTTAGCAGAAAGTTCATATGTAGAAAAAGCTTAAGTTGGTGATGGTTTCCCCTTTTTTTTACAGGGTTTAAGAGCCGGGTTAAGTTCTATAACGTGCAAGATCCAATGAGAATAAGCTATTACATTTCTGAGGTTGTTGATGCAGGACTTATGGGTCCACTCTTCAGGGTAAAAGCTTTTTTACAACGTTTTCAAATAGTTCATGTTATGTTTTGAAAAATCTGACAATTGAACTTGCATTGTTTTCTTTCCGTCTCAGGTGACTCTGGAAGAATCTCAAGATGAGAGCTTCACTAATACCTCAGCTCAGGGATGCTGGGAAATGGTGTTGCAGAGAGTCAACAAAGAGATATCAAAACGCAGCAGCCAAGTACAAAATGTTCATAATTTGGAAAACATTGACGGGCTACAAATGTTCGGTTTCCTCTCTCCGTTTATAATTCAGGTAAACATAACAACTAGCTAGGGGTGGTTTCTAACTGGTTTTACCCTCATTAATACTGAAAACCATTTTATTCGATTTTGAATTCGGCTTGGATATGGTTTTCTAGAGAAAACTCCTGAATTGGAAGGATTTTCAAAAACATTGCGGTTTCTAATTTTACATCGGCTTATTTCAATCTCCGTTCGGCTTCCATATTACGGATTGCTCGAATGTAACATATATGAAACCGTTTC